CACACTCTCTCCCTGTCTGCAGCCGTCTCCCCCTTTTGTATTTTCTTCCCTCTCCATCTCCCTCGCTGTCTCTTCCTCTTATTCTTTCTCTGTCTCTGGCAGTCTCTCTGTCTCTTCCACCTTTCTCTTTTGCTCTTTTGCTCTCTCAACCTCCTCCCCACCCGCGCTGTTTCTTTTCCACTTCCTTGGTGCTGTCACCTCCGCGGTTCGCTGCTCCTCTGTACTGTACCTTCCACCCGGGAAAATCAAGGGAATTTGAGATGGTAGGGTGGTGGGAAAGAGGGGGCGAGGAGTGTAGGATAGAGGAGGTGAGAGGAAACAAGAGAGGATAGCAGCCTACACTTAACTGCAGATTGGCCCTGCCCGGCAGAAGGGATGGAGACGTCTGCCACTCTGAGCCTCAAGACTGATATTTTTTTCCCTCTTTGCTGAGGTAAAACCAGGTAAAAAAAGAAATCCTCAGTCCTCAGGGACCTCACAGATGTCAAGCAAAATCAGGTGCTCGTAGGTACAGCGGCAGGTTAGAGGTCTCCTCTTACAAAACCACTGTCAGGAAGGGCAAAAACACTTTCCAGTCACGAAATAGGTGGACATGAATTGAGAGGCTCAGAGGCGAGTACCTTTTTGTCAAAGTGCCTTCAGAGATTGTGTGGTGTGTGACGGTACATCTGTAGCTGGCGTGTTGGATGTGTTCTGGCTGGATTTTTATTTAATATGCTGCAGGCCAACATGATTACATGCACAGTGATATTCTGATATTACTATGATATAATGGCCTTTGTGGTGTTTATCATTGCACTGCTTACCTCCAAACCACTTGGGTTAAAGGAGGTTGCTGAAAAGCTGGGACCCACATTATCTTTACACGGTAGGGTAGAAATGTGTATCAATACAACCTGGAAGCAATTCAGGTTCAACTTTCCTGTTGATGCTCTATTTGCATGTGTTTTCCAGAGTGCAAGCTGCAATTTCAGCATCTATTCAGCCTCTGAATTTCTGCTGGATAATCTTGTTTGCTTGAAACGACAAGCAGCAGCAGCAGCTATTCAAGTCTTTTTTGAATCTATTGCATATCAACAATGCTGTGGATTCTCTGTCTCACATATGCTCCAGGACCACATTAGCATGCTTTAAGGAAAGTCAGGTTTCTCTCAACCAATTAGTGAACTGACCATTTATTTTAAATTCAAAGTTCCCCTTTGGGAACTGAAGCCAAAGTGAATCGACTATGCAGTAAAGGCTGTGACTTTTCAGTAACCTATAGGAGCTGAATCTCATTTCACTGTCTCTCTAAGTCTCTCTGAAGAATAGTTTCTGCTCAACGCCTGAAATGGAAATGTGCTGTTTTTTATTAAATACTAAACATCATATTTCATTTACAATAGCAGGGATAAGCTCATATTCGTATTATTAGAAGCAAAATATGATAGCTGAGATATGCATAAAAAATCCCTAATTTCTAGCTTCTGTAAGATGCTTTCTAATGCTGTTTTTCATTATTTTCACTGCCCACTGCATTTGATACATAACTTAAAGTCAACATATGACTGGAGGGATATTTTGCACTTTGAGCAGATAAATCCTATAGTGGACCACTGAGGATTATGGGCCCATATCATCATGATGAATATATTAAAATGGTTTTATGTTGTGCAAATGTGGCTGTGTGGTCAATGTAAATTTAAAGGCTTCTTGTGAGATTGGCTCCGACAACAGATTTTGAGGGGACTGAATATGAAAACCTTTGGAACTTTCCAGAACATACAATTTGAAGCTGTAGTGGGGGACTTTTACATTAAATGAACGTCTGTTACATTCAAGCCCTTGCCAAACGAGTTTACATAATGCTGATTAAGCCCATCACGGCCAGGTAAATCTCTCTGTATTTCCCTGAATACAGAGTTTTTAGTTTTTTGTCTCAGAGTGATCAGTTAGCTTGCCAACCCCTGGCGAACAGCCAAAAAGTCCATATTTCATAGATCACCCGTTGTACAGAATCAGAATTAAGGGATTCATTGATTAGTTTACTGACAGAAAACTAATCAAATCTAAGAATTTGCGGCTTTTCTCTGTTTTGTATCAATGAATATTGAATAATTTTGGCTTTTGCACTACTGGTTGTGCAAAACAAGCAATATTAATTAAACATCTTTTGAATTTGGGAGTTTATTTTTGACCTTTAGGGGCACTTATATCCGAGCGTCTAACCAACATCTCAAGGTCTTTATCAATCAAATCTCTCACTGAATGAAGACCGTTTAGCTTACATTATTTTGAGTGCAGACAATGAAATCGAATAGACATTATGTGATATGACATCTCACTGACGCATTATCACGACCGGTATGTTCTTGTTACCTTAGAATGAGCCTTTTATATTAACAGAACCTGTGGGTGCTTTTTTACAAACCACAATGTTGCTACTGTAGCCCAGAATGGACAAATCAATCACTGGCTATCCTTTGTGCTTGGTTGAGTCAGGGTTGCTATTTGCACCACACCTCTAGATGCCACTAAATGCCATACGCTGGTTCTTTAAACTGCACAACGTTCACTTGTATCACAGTATTTGTACACTGTTATATTTCTACTTCAGCAAAATGTCTGTGTACTTCGTCCACCACTGAGCAATACACAGTTTTAAAGTAGCTTGCTGTATCTTTATGATATAAAAACTTGATAGCTTATTAGGCTACTGATAGAAAATGTAAGTTGTGCTTGTGGCTGCTTAGTCACTGTAGTTACTACTTATCTCTTTTTTTGAACTGGTTTCGGCGGTGTGTAATTCTGTAGTCCGATTGCAGTTGATTAAGTGTTATTTCAGATGTTGTTGAGGTTTTCTTTCAGCCTGTGTGTTTGTGAGTGTGGGATGGTTTCATCGGGATACTTTGATGTGCTTTTTTTCCAGATGCTTTTAAGGTAGATATTTCATTAAAAGACATCAAAGGTAAAACTCTCCCTTTCTCTCCTGCACTATCTCTGCTTCGCACCAACACACTTTGCTTTTGTCTTCCTTGGTATTAAAAGTATTCTCAAGTATTTGTCCTCCGGTGTTTACTCTTAGCTTTTCTCCCCCATATTTTTCTTCTCTGCAAACCTCCCACTGTTGTGTTACACAAGAATGCAGCCGAAGACGGGGGGCACATTTTAGCGAATTCTGCTCTTTATCTCATCTATCCCTCCCTTCGTCACCTCCTCTTGGCTCTTTGTTTCTCCCACCTCGCGGTCCCTGCACCTCTGTGATTTCCTCTCATATCAACAGAAATGTGTTTTGTCTTTAGTGCAGAATCCCTGATGTTTGTTCCCGCAGTGAAGGTCTCTGCTTTGATTACTTTACTTGATTTTCTTTCCTTTTTTATCCGGAGTTTTTCTCTTTCTCCTTTCTCATTTGATTTATTCTCTTATTTGATTTCTCTTTTTTCAAATAAGGGCACAGTGTGCACAAGTGCTTTATGTCTTCACTGGTGCACTTTTCAGAAACAGTATATTTTTTAGATTTCATTAAAGGTATTATGGTTGTGTGTTGAAAAATTATTCTTTCATCAGATGTTTTTGACAGTGTTGTATTACGAGTTTCCAAAAACGCTGTTGTGTCTTGTTTTGAATACTTTATGCTTTTTTGTGGATCTTTAGCAGTAGCAGCAGTTTGTCCTGTGGGTGGCGCTGTTGAAAACACACAAGGCCATTAAAATCCAAAGAGCTTATTGCCTTGGGAGCATGAGTGTGCTCAGCAAATATGAGGACAATCAGCCAATTGAATTAGGAGATACTACATTTTTCATTTATTAAGTGACAAACCAGGTTCATCCTCAGGGGTACAGTGGCTTTTGTAGGACATATCAGATTGTCAGGCTCAGCTCTACTGTATAAAAATCAGATTTGGCATAACTTTCATTAGCCTCAGCTGTATTTTTTCAAACTTAGATCAGTATTAGCTTCTCCTACAGCACTATAATCTTCAGCTATACTCGCGTCAGCCTCTGCTGTCGGCTGTCAGCTTTGAATTCTGTGCCTGCATTAAATTCTCTCAAGAGTTTATTGAATTAATCTGTAGCCTAAACACAATGCTGAAAGCAGGAAGATAACAGTTAGCTGTTCAAAATTAACAACATTGCAGCAATGGATTATATCGCTTTTGTCCAAAGTGAGTTACAACAAGAGCATTCAACCAAATTTCACATTCCTCGTAGGTGTAAAAACCTACTTGGCAATAAACAGTTCTGAATCTGATTCTGGTTCTGATTTATACAGCTAAACTCTTCAATTTGTTCAGAGTTTACTGAACTACTGTTCAATATAATAATAATAATAATAATAATAATAATAATAACAATAATAATAATAACTTTATTTGCATAGCACTTTTAAGAACATGGTTTACAAAGTACTTTGACAGAACACAGCAAGAATACAA